TATTAGGTCATCGATTTCTGTCATCCCCAAAGCACAGCAAAGTGGGATTGATATTTGATTTAAGTTATCAACAATGGTTATGAGTAACCATGTAAGTGCTGGGAATCAAACCTGAGTCCTCTGAAAGAGCAGCCAGTGCTCTTAATGACTGAACCATCTCTCCAGCTCTCACCATGAAGATTATAGTTCATTTCATTGCATATTAATGTGCCCTTCCTCCAGCCCAAGACCTTGTTTACCACAAGAGACCAGGTAATAGGACCTAGGTGGAACTAACCACCTTGGCTGCAAATCAATAGACACCTAGGTGGAGTCTCTCACCTTGGCTGCAAGTAGATTCTGCTACAGGAACTTCAAAGAACTGCCCCTGGGCTTGCCTTGAGACATCTCCAAGACCAAGAACGGATTATCCCACCCAACTCTGCTGGCTGAAACTACAAGGGTTTCGGGCGGGGTCTTCCCCTTTAAATTGAAAGCTTAACATTAAACCATCGAGCCTTGATCAGAGAACTTTGTCTTGGCTTCATCTTTTCTCGCTCTCTGTCCACCTCTCGTTCCCAGCCCTCTTTTCAGGTGAACCCGTTTGACTCGTGGCCGCAGGCGGCTACACATGAAGATTACTGAAACAGTCTAAACTTTTTCCAACCTCTCTACTTTTACCAAAAGAAATTAATCCTGCACACGCGGAAGCGCTCCATGAATCCTTTAGAACAAGGCCCTCACATCCTCGGCACTGCTCTACAAACCTGGTACTCCACTGATGTTGTAGGTAAAGAGACTGTGAACATGCAAACAAGCTAGGTGACGTGCCCTGGACTATATACAACTAAGTTGTTTTATGAGACAGAGATATCTCAAAGTAAGCAGGAGACAGGAAGAGAATCTCTATAAACCACGTAGACCAGCAGTTCTCAACCGTGGGTCATGACTCCTTTGGGGGGTCAAATAACCCTTCCACAGGAGTTGCTTATGATGATTGGAAAACACAGATATGTGCATTATGATTCATAACTAGTGAAATTACAGTTATGAAGTAGCAACCAAGTAATTTTAAGGTCACCGTAACATGAGGAACTGTATTAAAGGGTTGTAGCATCAGGAAGGCTAAGAACCATTGCTGTAGACTTTCTTTAATTCTGGCATTTAATTAGAAAACCAAACATTTATTCATTTGCTTTTTTTTTTTTTTTTTTGGTTTCTTTCGAGACAGGTTTTCTCTGTATAGCCCTGGCTGTCCTGAAACTCACTCTGTAGACCAGGCTGGCCTCGAACTCAGAAATCCGCCTGCTTCTGCCTCCCAAGTGCTGGGATTAAAGGCGTGCGCCACCACTGCCCGGCTATTCATTTGCTTTTAAACAAGTTGAGCATCATAGTTTATCTGAAAGAAATTTACTACATAATTAGGGACTGAGAATGCCATTTTCAGAAGACAGATCTCCAGGTGTTCCAACAGTAGACATGGTAAAACATGATGGTGCAGCATGAATGCCAACACTACCTTCCTGGCCTGTTCTTCAGCCCTCTCTTTCTTGATTTTTTCTAGCTCTGCAAGAAGAGCCGCAGTATCATCATCGTCGCTCTCCTCTTCAAAATCCTCATCTTCCTCCTGGGACAGGTCAAGGTGACCCAGGATATCAGAAAAACAAACAAACAAACAAACAAACAAACAAACAAACCATTATTTAACTTTCTCATAGTCTTTGGAACAAAATTTTCCTATAGGGAAAAGTACCTAAATACCATAACTAAAATCAATAACCAGTACAAATATAATAAAACCCAACAAAAAAATTATGAATGCTTACTAAAATGGTAACCCCTGATAAAGTATCTGTCATATTTACATGGTTAAAAAGGATTTTTACATGGCAATGGTCAAGTAACACCTCACAATAACATATAGTACTATGTTCAGTGTCTTACCCCTAAAGAGTTAATAGTTTCATGTAGCTCAAAATGACTAAGCTAGCAAGCAAATGTGCAAAAAGGGGTGCTACGATTCCAACACAAATATTTGGAATGAATAACTGAATTTCACTTACTGTAAGGCTTCTTATTTTAACAACTCTATCAGTCAGCGCTAACTGCTGATATGTATATGCAACTAGATACTACTCAAGGAAGGTCACTCATGTCCGCTCAGCTGAAGCTGGAAGACAGATGTAGTGGACTACTCAGTACGCTGAGGTACGAGGCAAGAAGGCTGTGATTAGTAGACCCGTCTGAGCTACATACAACTAAAAAGGCAGTAGTGTCCCAGTGACCGTTCATGCTCTGTCTGCTTAGACTACTCGCCTCTCTACTCACTAAGGGGCCTATGAGCACCACGTGTCTAAAAGAGCAGCATTGGTAGAACGCTCAATGGTGCTGTTCTCAGGGCGCTCATCCTGACAGCGGCCTGTGTAGTTAAAGCAAGTCAGCTTAACCTCCCGCACCACTGACAATCCTGTCAGGGGTGGGCACATCCTTTTTCACAGACTGCCTCCACATAGCTCTCCAGATCAAACCTGTCCTAAAAGTCTTTGACACAGAAGAATACTTTTTGTTTTAAAAACAATTATACACTTTAAAGTTGAGGTCAGAGATATTTTTCAGTAACATAAAGCCAAAATGTATTAAAAAAATTTTTTTCAGGAAAATATGATATGCTGGGCCCAATGGCAGAGGCTGACAGTTCCAGCACTGAGGGGGCTTAAAACAAGCAAACAAATAAACAAAACCTAACCCAAACCCAAAACTAAAACACATACGTCTGTGAGAGGGTCATCAGCATCAAGGTTGGCGGCAGGAATCTGGTCTAAGCGGGGCTTCTTTGACACTGAAGAGGAAGTTGTATGTTCTGAAGAAAACAAACATTTAGCATATTGAAATAAGTATAGATTTTAAATAACATTTTAGAAACCTTTGGGCAAAAAGAATCCACACAAGCATAGTGACAGCAGGGATCCACCCCGTGACTGGCAAGTGAGTCTTTGATAAATATTTGTTGGCTAACATGAAATGAATGAAAGAGTATGCAGATGACAGCATCTCAGGAGACTTAGCCAATGCTCACATGCACTAGAAACACAACACAACAAGGGTAACTGATGCTTCTCTCAAAACTCTTCAATTACATGGGGAGTCTCAGACAGAAGGCCTCAGTTCCAGCTGCTGTAAAGTCAAAGTCTACAGACAGGGACTGAAACAATGGGTTTTAAACACTCCAGGCCACCATTTCTTTGAATATCAATGCATGACAGGATGGGACTGGAACAAACCTCATTATCATCTCTAATCATTTACTAAAGAGATATAGCTCACAAAAATGTTAACTATCTCCAATTCCCAGGATACAGGTCCCACCATGTGACTCTGACAAGCATGAGGGACAGCATGGGCACCTCGGGTCGGACGGTCCCGATTTTTTTCCCTTGCAGCAGCTCTCTCTCTCTCTTCCAACTCTCTCCTGAAGTCGCGGTTGCGAACCTCTTCAGGGGCATCCTGTGTAGTTTGTCTTAAGAAGGAAAACAAAACAAAACAAACCAGGTCAAAAAATGTTACCCTCACTTGTCAAGGAAAAGAACCTATATGGCTACAGCAGTTTGAGACAATCCAGGATGTAACTGTCAAGAACAGAATGGAAGAAGAGGACAAACAACATCCTAATCTGAGGGTTATTAATACACTAGTGCTGTCCTGGTGTCACTAGAAGAACAAGCTGAAGCACACAATTTCCTACAACAGAATGTCTCTGGCTTTTTAAAACAGTCCATCACCTCAGGGGCTGTTAAAGACCACTTCCAGTCACTACAGCTCCGTCTTCTCTGGGCAATCACGATGACTACTGTGTGCTTCATCTACACACAGCAATTTCAGGTTCATCAGGACTTATGCTGGAAGACTGTCAGCAACGCTTTGCAACTATACCGCATAATTTTATTGTAAACATTTCTGAAATCCTTTTTTTGGATGATCAGTAATTTAAATACTATAATTTAGACCTGATCATAAGTCATATAGGGTTGGTCCCATTCTGTGAACAAAACAAATGAAAGGCTTTCTTACCTGTACTTTATCTTTGTATGTGAGGGAAGGTCTCTGCTTGAATATTGCTTGGAGAGCTGGCTCAAATCCCCTTCTCCTTTTCCTCTCCCACCTCTTGCAGGTTCAAAAGTTGGCCTGGCTGCTGTTGTCATCTTTTATTCTTCGACAAAAGTGAGTTTAAGTTATACTCTCATTTTACAGATCATTCATAAATATCTATCCTTAAATCATTCTCAAAACTCTTCCCAAAATTGCCTAAGTAGTTTGCTTCAATACAAGTTTCTAAAAAGTTGAATTATGAAACTCAAGGGTGTGTACTAGATATTCACTGCCAGGCAGCTCTCATAAATAACTACTATGAAGATCTGAGTTTGTGCTTCTATTCTAGTTGAGTAGCCCTGGGCAAGTCTCCTAGCTTGTTTCTGTCATTTGTGGAATGCTGACATTTCTACAGTATGAGATTTCTGATACATGATGTCAGATCTTGGACAATAGTGCAGTGTGGCTTTTAAAATTAATGACTTTAAAAAAATTCTTGTTATTCCACTAGCACTAGGTTCTCTGAGATTTTATTTATTTTTTTATGATAGAGTATCAATGTAGCTTTGGCTGAACTAGGACTCACTACACAGATCAAGCTGGCCTAGAACCCTCCAGAGATCCACCCAACTTTGCCTCCGCACTGCTGGAATTAAAGGCGTGCACCACCAACACGACCTTGTCCAGTCAAGATTTGCATTTTTATCAGAAATCTCAGATTACAGCAAATAGCCCAATAAAAACCACATTTCTTTTAAAGTCACAGACAAATTTATTGAGTGTCTTAAAGTTTGTTTAAAACCCAGTGACATTTACATGGGCAACATTACCCCAGAATCTTGTTAATTCAATTTTCTTCTAAAACAAGATGACGCAACATTTATAAGGCGTTGGTAGGCTGTAACTTAAGCGATGCTCAGAAAATCGGAACTCAGCCGGGCGGTGGTGGCGCACGCCTTTAATCCCAGCACTTGAGAGGCAGAGGCAGGCAGGTTTCTGAGTTCGAGGCCAGTCTGGTCTACAGAGTGAGTTCCGGGACAGCCAGGGCCACACAGAGAAACCCTGTCTTGAAAAACCAAAAGGAAAAAAAAAAAGGAAGAAAGAAAATCGGAACTCTACCCAACCAAACATCAAAAACCCATCCTGAACTGGGTATGACGGGGGCTTGGGAGGTGAAAGCAAAAGAGTCGGGAGTTCGAAGCTAGCTTCGGCTACAAGAGAACCTTTTGCAATTTTTAGCTGTCAAGTAAGAATTCCAGCCTAACTACAGGGCTACTAAATCTCCGTTAGGCAGCATGCTCAGATAGACCTAGACCGTGTGGGAAGTGGGAGCTTCTCCCTCATCTCATCCTCCTTTGCTTTTCTCAGTGTCAGAGGCCCCGCGCCTGTGACTGCTCCGGGCTCGGCTAAAGCTCCTGACCGCCATCCGGGCACCGCGGCCCAGACGATCGTCACGGCTCGCGGCGACGACCCGGCTCCCCGGTGCCACCCGCACAAGGACCACAAACCACTAAGCCCTGCTACTCACTCTGGAGGGGGTCCGACGCAGCACCTTCTGAAACTCACTCACAAACCATTGCGACCCTTAACTCCCAGAAACCTCTGCGCCGGGGGCGCCAGTCCAAGACCGGAAACAAAATGCAGAACTTCCAATCTCTACTCCAGGGGCTCAGTTAAGACCCGGAAGCAAAATCTTCGCACTTCCAACCGCTGTGTAGGAGACGCGAACTCCACACCCGGAAGCAAATCCGGAGAATAAATTTTTTTTTTTTTAAACCGTCTCTCACAGGCTGACGCGGTGACCAATCAGCAGAGACACAAGAAAAAGATGGCGTGACGTCGCCGAGGGGCGGGGCCAAGGCTGCTTAGGGGGCGGGCGTTTGAAACCGGTGCTTCATTGTCGACCCCAAATAATCATCTTGTGCCTTTGAGAACCAATTACTTAATCTCTCTTGCGTCTTTTCCTTTCCCGACCCCCTCCCAGACTCTTTCGCTGCTGTTCTGCGAGGACGGAAGGCGCCAGGAGCCGGTCCGCGTCTCGCAAGCGTGAGATCTGAGGAGAGCTTGCCAACTGACCGACTCAACGGCTCCTGTTCCTCAGTAGACCCCGCAGCCTAGGGAGTAGAGTTGTCACTTAAGTGGATATGAAGAAGGCGCAAATAAGTACGGGGGCAGCCACGAGCTTTCCAAAGGTACCATTCCTGCGAAACCACTAGCCTTGAAGGCAGGGGTTATAGTCGCATTGCTTGTTAAGATATATAAATTTATAGATATATAGCTATATACATTAAGCGTTGTAGCGTGAAGGGAGATGCTGTGAGCGTTTACGATAGTGAGAATTTATGGAACAGTGGGCCTAACTGCCAGGAGGAGCACGAGATGGGATTAAGATGGCTTCGCCAACGTTGTCTTGTGCCCCACCATTGAGATCTTGGGGACAACCGATGCTCGATAAAGAGGATTCTGTTCTTCAGTATATTTCAAGTGGAAGGATCGCTTAAAATTGAACATTTCAGTTCTTTCTTGTCCTTCCTTTCTTTTAAACGAAAAAAGAGAATTAGAAAAGACCCCCCCCCATGTGCCTCTTCCACAAGTAGAAGGTGAAACGCTTCATTTTTTTTCCTTATGGAAGCACTCAGCCTCTCACAAAGGACACTGCTATCATCGTAGTGGCGCAAACCCAAAGCTGGAGACCCTCTTCCTTCACTCGTCACATCCTGTTCACTTGCCACTCTTGTCTAGTATTGTGAAAATTACCTTGAAGTTTCTTTCCCTGTTGTTCCCACGCTCATTCAGGCCACTGTCATTTTCCTCTTGGATTTGTAATTGCCTTCAAAGGGACTTTCTTATTTTTGAACAGAACAGAGTGATCTTTTCAAATTTCCAGATAGTGTTTTTGACACTTAGGATTAAAGAACTATTTGTTTTAATTTACACAGTTGGCCTCCTGCCCGCCTGCCCGCCTGCCTGCCTTCCTGACTTTAGTCAGTCACAGGAACACCACACACTAGACACACTCAATTGGACATTTCTATTTCTTCCAACAAGATAGGATTCCATTGTTTCTTTTGAGTTTTGAGCCAAGACCTTGTAGTATATGCCAGGCTGGCTACACTGACCATCCTCCTGCCTCAGACCCTTGAGTGCAGGCATGCATTCTTCTGTTTTTTAAAGTCTTGGACTGTGTTCTTCACCTCTTCCCCCAAGACAGCTGTAACTCCATTCTTCAGGTCATAGCTTGGTGCTGCTTCCTCAATGACGTTTCCCCTGACATCTATACTGTGCCCCACTCCTTCCTTGCAAAAATGTCTTTATAGCACCCAGTTTTGTATTTCCATAATGCTGACCCCTAGTTGGTTTACTCTTTGTTTATATTACCTCATGCACCTTTTTCTTTTTGGTCAGAGACAAAGTATTGAGACCAAGTCTGAGGCTCTCTTGGCTCTAACCCCAGTTCTGCCCTCCCTAGCTATGTACAGTTGGGCAAATGATTTTTTCTGTCCTGTCCTCCATTCCTTGTGCAAAAGTAGAGGTATTCTTATTGTGACTGTGATAATTACATCACTATTTGTAAAGTGCTTAGAACTATCTCAGCAAGGTACTTGCAGAATCATTACTGGTTGTTTGTTGTCTGACATTAGAATCTAAATTCCAGGAAAGCAGGAACTTTGCCTGTATTCACTAGTGTCCTATCCATGTAGAAGAGTACCCCATACATGACAGGTGCTGAGTAAGTACTAGTTAAGTGAATAAATGACATGTTATAAATACAGGAATGAAATCTCAGTGGCAAGATGGTGACAGAAAGGGCTTAGTTTTTATATTCCAGCTGACTTTATCAACCCCTCAATAAGTCACCATAGTCCATTTGACTTTTGAATTATTAATTAATAAACACTCGATGGTTCTATTACAGTTTAGCATAAAAAGTTAGTTCACAAAAAGTAAAAGCAAAAGTGTTAATAAGAAAGGTAAAACAAGCCGGGAGGTGGTGGCACACGCCTTTAATCCCAGCACTTGGGAGGCAGAGGCAGGTGGATTTCTGAGTTCGAGGCCAGCCTGGTCTACAGAGTAAGTTCCAGGACAGCCAGGGCTATACAGAGAAACCCTGTCTCAAAAAACAAAACAAAACAACAACAAAAAGAAAGGTAAAACAAAACAAAAAATTGACTTTTAAGTACCAGTAAATAATAAGAAAATGATACCGTAAAGCATTTGACTTAAACAGTGAAAACACTTAAGATAAAGAAATGAAGTCAGAAAGATGTCTGTATTAGTTAGGGCTCTCCATGGGGACAGAGCTGACAGAGTAGTCAGTGTGTACAGTAGACATACAGTACAAGGGGACTTACTAGATTGGCTTACATGGTACAGAACAGATGTTGACACTGGAGAGAGAACTCAGAAGCCACATAGTCTACAGGACTACATACATGTCTCTGCAGTTTAAAGCAGTCCCATTATGGTGCTAAATGCATGGAAGATTCATTCCTTGAGGGCCACTGGTCTTTATTCCACATTGGAAGGCTGAAGAATCTGGATTCTGAAATTAGCAAAAAATGGTAGCAGCAGGGTGGATGAACTGGACAGCAACCTGAGAACAGGGAGAGTGAACTGGACAGTGTCATGGAAGGCAAGCAGGCAAACCCCAGACTTTCCCCTTGAGCTGACTTCTTTCTGGCTGCCACCAGAAGCACTATTCATATTTTGAATGGATCATTTTGTTTAAAATAATGTGATCAAGCAAATTTTTTACAGGTGGTCCTGTCAGCTTATTTCTTACTTGGTTCCAGGTCTAGTCAATGTGACAGAATTAGCCATCTCCTTTTCTAAAAACATATTTTCTTTCGACCAGGCCTTTTCCCTCCCCCTCTTTCTGCACACAGTCTTGTGTGTGTGCTATTGGAGCATGTGCATGTGGAGGTGAGGGCTCATGTTGGGGTCTTCCTCATTGTTCTTTACGTTAGTTTTGGAAACAGTTTCTCATTAAACATCAGACTATTGAATTAGGCTCCTGCCTGCCTTTCCATGTGACAGATGCTCTCTGTCACACCTAGCTCTTGTTGGGATCAAAACTTGAGTCCTCGTCCTTGTACAACAAGCACTTCACCAGCAGAACCATCCCCCTAGTCCTCAAGAGATGAGCTCTGAACTTTGGAGAAGAGAATTGCCTCTACAAGGATTTATTGCTTGGCTTATCTGTCAGGTTGTTTTGTCTGTAACTTCCCATGTGTCACTAGAGCTGAGGTGACCCTGTATGGTTCCTGGTAATGTGGGTCCTATTCCCGAAGTCTTAGTAACACATGTCCTGTCTCGTACTCTTATAGATCACACCAACTTTGTATGCACCTTCATTTTTAACATAGCAAAAGTGGTGTGTAGCTTGGTAAGATGTTATATGTAATATTTATGATTGTAAAATTGATTCTATGGAGAGGAAAATTATGAATTCCACCTTCAAAGGTTACAGAAAAACATTATTCAAAAGGAATAATAATAATAATAATAATAATAATAATAATAATAAAAAAACCTTAAAAGTCTCATAGGAAAATTTCAGAAAGTATAGTACTTGCTGTTTGGAAGGAGAGTTTGATGAAGACAGAACATTTTATGGCTTTGTGACTTAAAAATCACATTGACTTTAAATTTAAATTCGATGTGGTGATTTATACCTATGATCCCAGTACACCTGAGGCTGAGTCAAGAACCGTGTCTTAAAAAAACACAAGCCAGGCTTGAATGGCACATGCCTTTAAACCCAGCACTAGGGAGACAGGCAGAAGCATCTCTGAATCTGAAGTCAGCATGGACTACATAATAAATTCCAGGTAAGCCATGGCTACATAGAGATATTCTGTCTCAAAATAATTAAGTTATACCTACGAAATGTGAACAAAGTCAACAGCTAAGTGTCAGATTAGAAAACAAAAGTCTTTAACATAGGCTCAGTACTGCTCTGTTGACTAAAACATATAATGTGAAAAAATAAGTAAAAGCAAACAACCCAATAGAAACTGCAGAAAAGGAGAAAATGCAATAGAAAGTAAACACGAGGCTGGAGAAGTGGGTCAGTGGGTAAGAGTGGGTGCTTCTCTACAGAATAGCCGTGCTCAGTTCCCAGCACCCATGTCAGCAGCTCACAACTGTGTATTTCCATCACTAGGTGATCCCTCAGCTTCCTCAGTGGGCATCCACACACACATGGGCATACTCATGCATAGATGCATACAAAACAGAGGCACTTTGATCCCTGTGTCCAAGGCCAGCCTGCTCTACAGAGTGAGTTCCAGGACAGCCAGCGCTACACAAAGAAACCCTGTCTTGGAAAAAAGTAAACAAACCACCACCAACAACTATATATGTGTATGTATATATATAAAATAAAATATATGTATCTATAACAATATGTATATATAAAATGTGTATATATAAAATAAAATCTTAAAAACATGATTCAACTTTTCAATGATCACATTACAGTACTGTATTTCCAGCAATTTATGAAAAAACAAACTTTTGAATGGGATTGAGAAAAAGAGCACCTATCAGCCAATGAAGTTGGCAGTGGCACCCCATTGCCCTTCCAGGAGAAGGCAAACCGTTCATTCAGTGGGCTGCACAGTTTTCCAGGTCTTAGTCTGTTTGCCTCTGAGGCTCAACCCTTACTCCTTTACAGCATACC